CGATCCTTCCGCCTCAGCCTTCCGAGTAGCTGGAACTACAGGCGCGCGCTACCACGCCCGGCTATTTTTGATTGATAGTGGAGTTGAGGTCTCGCCAAGTTGCCCAGACAGGTCTCGAACCCGGGCTCAGGCAATTCACTCACCTCGGCCTCCCAAAGTGCTGGGATGACAGGCTGGGCCACCGAGCCCGGCCCTCCTTTGCCTACTTTTAAATGGGGTTATTTGTTTTCCTGTCAATTCATTTACGTTGCATGCACTACGGGTGCATATTTTGCAATATTTTCATCCATTCTGTAGGTTGTCTATTTACTCTATTGATAGTTTCTCTTGCTGTGTAGAAGCTCTTTGGTTTAATTAGGTCCCACTTGTCAATTTGGTTTTGCTGTGTTTGCTTTTGAGGACTTGGTCATGAAGTCGATGTCCAGAAGAGTGTTTCCTAGCCTTTCTTCTTGGATTTTTATACTTTGAGGGCTTACAGTTCTGTCATTAGTTCATCTTGAGTCAATTTTTGTATATGGTGAGAGGTAGGGGACCAGCTTCATCCTTCTGCATATGGTTAAACAGTTTTCCCAGCACCATTTGTTAAATAGGGTATCTTTCCCCACTGTTTATGTTGACTTTGTCAAAGATGAGTTGGTTATTGCTCTCGCTTCTCTATTCTGTTTCATTGGTCTATGTATCTATTTTTGTACTAGTACCATGCTCTGTGGTTACTGAGCCTTATAGTAAAGTATGAGATTTGGCAGTGATGCCTCTGGTTTTGTTCTTTTTTGCTTAGGATTGCTTTGGCTTTCAGGCTCTTTTTTGCTTTCATATGAATTTAAATATTGATTTTTCTAGATTTGTGAAAAATGACTCTGGTAGAGACGACGTTGAATCTGTATATTGTTTTAGGCAGTATAGCCATTTAAACAATATTGATCTTCCAATCCATGAGCAGGGAATGTTGTTTTTCCTTTTGTTTGTGTCATCTTTTTTTTTTTTTTAGTTGGAGTCTCACTCTGTCGCCCAGACTAGAGTGCAGTGGCCGCTCCCGGCCACCGC